ATGCTAGCCGCCAGGAATGCTCGATTATTTTGATTGCCAAGAAGTTGTAATTTTTCTTTGTCATTCATACGTTTTTATAACTTGTGCCAATTTTTATTTGCAGGTAAAATGATCTTAGTGACTTGTGTTTGCGCCTCTCATGCGGATCACATATTTGCTTATGAATGCGGGTGAAATGCCACTACTATTGCCGCAGTTGATCATTTAAGATTTTGAAATTTAATTTAATTTTGATTGATGTAAATTTTGATTAGCAATTGAAAAAGTCTTTACAATCTTAATAAAGAACTTCACATATTAGCACAAATAATTTGTCATTTGTCTCTTTTCTAATAGCTTCCTTCTGACTTTTTTTTTCCCCCTGTTTTCGGCTAAGTATCTTCCTTCACATTTCTAGATGCTATTAATTGTATTCACATTTGAAGCTCATTTTATATGTTATGAGATAGTGCGTTGCTTGAACCATTTTCAGTGAGTAGTCTATTACCTAAACTAATTTTTCCATTCTCATTAGTTGTAGAGTAAATGGTCAACAGCTCTTCTAACTTCCAAACTATGTCTGTAATCTAAAATTGTTCATAGAACATTATATATAAATCGGGAGTCACATAGAAATACCAGCCAAAAATTATGAGTACTGATTCTCTATATCTAGTGCCTGTAAATGCAAACTAAATCGTGGTAGACCCATCATAATATGCAATAATAATTCTTTAAAACCTATTTTAGAAGAACCAAGGAGTTTAGGTTAGAAAAGTCAATATTGATTTGACTATTATTATTTGGATTGTCGAGCTTCATAGAGGGGTATAAGTAGTGAAATTTAGGTGGATTGTGAGATTAGAGTTAAGTAAATATGAGGGTAATATGTCCCTTAAGTTGGTTGAGATGATAGAATTGATGTCATCCCTTCCTATCAACTCAAGTTTGAATATCTCTCGGGACATCTACTCGTCGCACAGGATTCGCTTAGTGCGTCTTACCCTTTCGTGTGGTTAGCGGACTATTACACGGGACAGGATTTACCCAATGTGCACTCTCAAGTAGCGACTGCAGATTCCATTATTGTTAACAAAAATATGAGGGTAATATATTATCTTCCTCTCTCACCCCATAAATTCTAGAATTTTTTTCTTACTACCCTCTGGCCTTGTTCATGCTAGACCTCACTTACTCTTATTTGGTTTTTATATTATCTCCTCAAACATTAGAAAAGTTTGTAGTATGAAAGTTCATTTATGCCTCAAACTAGACACAAAGAATCGGATACAACACAAGCATATTCAGATTCCATGAATGATAAATAAACCAGAGGTTTCAATAATTCTCTGCATCTTTTCATGTTTTTTAAGGTTATGAGGAACTAATAGGCAGCTGTGTACTCCAAGCATTGAGAAGTTCATCATACATTTGAGAGCCAAAGTGTAAAAGACATGATGACCCAATTTGCTGTCCAGTTACTAATAGCCTAGAAGATAATTAATGGGAAAAACAATAATGTAATTAATGTTGAAGCAAAAAAGTATGCAACAGAATAGGGTTGCAAACGAATCGAGCCGCTCGCGAGCAGCTCGAGTCGAGCTCGAGGTTGAACTCGAGCTTAGAATGTTAAGCCGGCTTTGAGTATATATATATATATATTTTTTTTTATTTAATAATAAAATTACGTATATTATATATGTTTTTTATTTTTTATTTTCATAGTAAAATTACGTATATATCCTTAATATTTTATTATTTATTAAGAAAAAAATATTATTTTATTTATTTTTTTAAAAATAAAATAATTATTTTTTATTTTTTTCAAGCTCGAGCTCGGCTCGACTTGATTCGAGTCGAGCTCGAGCTTGAAAATTGCTGGCTCGTCGAGCTCAAACTTGGTAAAATTTAGTCGAGACTCGGCTCGATTAGCTCAAAACTCGATTCGGCTCGACTCGTTTGCAGCCCTACAACAAAATTACGATTACATTGGAATCGTAATATCCATGCCTAACAAAATTAAAAAAACAAACAAATTTGTGGCTCTTGCACAAGAAATTTTGTTAGAGTGAAAACATGTACAGCACTATGAATTGACCCACTCATTTATATAAGCTGAAGTTTGATCCTAATCTTATGATAATCACTAGATGTCGTCCTTTTTTATTCTTTCTATGCAATTTTTTTATTCATCCATGTTTTATAACTTTTATTTAAGTGATACTTTTCAAAATATCTAATAATGAGACAACTACAGCTCTGTTCGCGTCGTATCTAATTTTATTTTTTAACATAACAAAAAAATTGTATGTATGAATGATTTCTAATATTACATAATAAAATATTGTGTCACTATTACATGACATACAAATCTAGCTATCCCACACTAATACATGCTATTTAGGTAAAGACATTGATAAAAAAAAAAAAAAAAGTACACGAATATACTAATTGAATGTAATTTTGCATCAAATGTACTATTATAATCTACTCAATATACATGTGTAACATACTCAAGTTATGTTCATAATTTAGTATTTTACTATGTTACAAAAGGAAAAAAAATTGTGCCGCTCTTATATGTAATATGTAATTTTAGTTATTAGTTATTAAAGTATAACATATTTTAAAAAATTGTGCCTTAAAAATTAACCTTTGATTAATGGAGGATAAAGTATTGAATCAATAGATATTTGTAAATCTTGTTTTTAATTTGAAATTGTGGAACAACTCGTAAAGTGTATGTTTTCAGCATTCATAATACACATAAAAAGTATCTGTTTTAGTAAGTATAATACTTTTGGTAAAGTGTATGTATATTTTTTTAAACGTTCTAGCCTAATTTAGGGTTAATTCCACTTTATCCCCTCAAACTTTGGCCTATTACCCACTTCAGTCCCTTAACTTCAAAATGGGACACTTAAATCCCTAAACTTATGAATTGCTCCCAGTTAAGGAAAATTGTTGACAGAATCCTGAATGCCGTTGGTGGTTGAAGAGCGTGGCAAACACTCTCCTTTGACTGAGGGCAACAATGAAAATTCACAAAATATCACATATATAGATTAAAAAAAGATGGTGAAATATGGAGGGAAAGTTTCCCTCCATGCTACCCACTTCAGATGGATAATGTAGACCTGATCCAAATCATAAAAGGGCACTTCAGGTCGGTATGCTGAGAGACCCAAGCTGTCATTCTGCTATCCACAAGGCAGGAAGAAGAAAAGGAGAACCCAACGCATGGTTCAACAAACAAAGAGAAATGGTGAGGCAATTTTGTGATTGTGAAAAGCAAACATTGATGATGACATCATGGACTGCCATGAACCCAGGAAGAAGGTTTTGTCGATGTGCCAAGTACAGAGTAAGGGAAATTAGGGTTTTGTGTTTATACTTGTTTTTTATTTTGGGTTTGTATGAATTGCAGCCACCTAATCTTGTCTGCAAACATAATGTTCTTGTCAAACTAGGAACAAGGAGGCTGCATATACTGGGATTGGGTTGATCCTGAGATGTGTCAAAGGTCAAAAGAAATAATACCTGGACTGCTAAGGTCAATGAACAAGATGGAAGCTGAGTTGGATAGGTTGAAAGAAAATTCAAGGTGCCAACAATCAAAAGTGAGGAGGCTAAGGATGTACTTGATTATCCACTGGGTTGCCATTGTCATGTGGTTGTTTTTGTTCAAATCTGGGGGAGAAGGTCCAAAATGCGTTGTAGAAGAAGCAACCGCTTATGCCGGACTGCCCGTTTTGTTTGCTCAAATATGGGACCACCTTTGTCTGTCATTGCTAAGTAGTGGACCTTTTGAGTGGTTTTAAATGTATTGTATCAAATTTAGGGATATAGTGGACCTGCTATGTCCCATAATTGTGAACGTTGGACCTGCTATGTAATCAGAATTTGTTGTTTAGGGATTTTAGTGTCCCAATTTGTAAAGTTTATTGCAAGTAATCTATGTCACATTAACAACAGCAATCAACCAGAACATAAAATTTTCAGCAAAAACCTTTGATCATTCAACAAATCATCCAATACATAATAGCAATACCAGGAATGACAAAAATTTCACATTAACAGCCTCTGAATTTCACCCATCTGGACTAGCAAGACAAAGGCTATATGAGTTCCACAATAGAGGCTACCAAAAACAGAGGCTAACAAAAATTCCATATTAACAAAAAAATTCTTAGTTCCAATGGACTATATGAGTTGAACAAAAGTTCGCCACATCTGGACTAGCAAAACAGAGGCTTTTACTGCCCAATTTGATTGTATCTGCAAAATAAAAAAGGCTATATGCATGTACAATTCTTGAGTTGGTTTGTCCAGCATCAGTCAGTTCATGCTTGAAGGCTATTTGGCCTATTGCTGCAATTTTTCCAACTTAACAGATTGGTTTCCATCCCCATGGAGCTGCACATTTTCAATTCCAAGTGACTCCTTCGCATGTCCTGCAGCTGTCTGTAATGTAGACAGGTTAACACACAAATTGCCTTGCCATGTGAATTGTGCTGGTTTAAGTCCACTGCTGGAATGAGAGGCTGTCCCCAAGTCCACGTATGAGTGTGGTGCTCTCATCGTTACTCCGTGGCTGTGGGAATAAAGTTTGCGACCATCAGCTTTGGAGCTTAACTGCAAACAAGCACATAACATGAATCAATAAGACATGACACCCATAAATAAAGACCTGATGTATGGAGACCACTTACATGAGTTGTTGTAGGACTCTTTTCCACATGCCAGAACTATTTTGAGCATGATTATATGGGTTTTCCAGATCATCAGACCGTATTTTTACAGTTTTGAATCCCAAGTCTCCAGTCATGTCCAGTGAGCTCTAAAGGTCCATTGCCTCAACTTACAACTATTCTTTGAGTGACCATGCTTACGACAAAATGAGCATTTTCTTCCTTTCTTTGTCACTGGTTCTTGTGCCCCTTGTTTTGGCTGATTGGCATCCAAATTTTGAGATGGACCTGTGTGACTCTGTTGCGTACTTACTCCAAGTATGTCAACGGTCACATCACTTGGACAAGCCTCGTTAGTACTTGGCTGCATAGATGGCCTGTATCTCCAATATCACTGTTCTCCTTTGCTGAACTTGTAGTTGTCCCCTCAGTGGTTTGCTTATTTTTATCCGGACATCCTCTTTTGTTATGTCCGTATTTTTTGCAGCGGCTGCAGCTCATCATGGTGCCAACCTTGTGAGGTTTAGTTGGATTGACACAGCTGTCCCGTCTGTCTTCTTCTGAAGCCTTTTTTCTCATTTTCTTTGGCCTTCCAGCAAATCTTCTATAAGTCGGAGGCTTCATTGCTGGAAGGTCTATGTGCTCCCACAAATTAGGACCATTGATTGGATTAAGTACAGGTTCATAACTTTGTAGATACGTGATCTTCAAGTAGGTGTTGGAAACATGCTTCTCTGGTGCTTCATGTCTCCTGTTGATGGCAGCTACAGCATGGCCACATGGTATTCCCCTTAATTGCCACTTTCTACATGAACAGGTTTTGGCAGCCATGTCAACAATATACTGTCCCCAAATGGACAGCTTATCTGATACTTCATTGTCCCAGCATATGACGCTATGCACATACACTGCTCTTGCTTAGCCTTTTCCAATATCTCAAATATTGCTGGACAAAGAAGACCTGAATACAAAATGAAAACAATAAATTGGTCATAAATTTCTCAAAGAAATTATGAACTGACCTTAATACTAGTAAATAAATAAAATGTTCTTAACCTTCGTGCTTGGACATTGCTTCCCTGTTCCTCTCCATCCTCTTCAGCAGGTACAAATAAATGGTCTGCAGCATGGATATGATTGGTAGTGACCTGGCCTTTAAAATTACTGCATTAAAGGACTCACACATATTATTCACCAAAATATCACAATCCAATCCACATCTAAAATGGGCTCTACACCAAGTTTTGGGATCTTTTTCATCAAGCCAAGAATGCGCAGCTGCAGATTCTTGCCCCAACTGTTCCATTTCGACTTTCCAGTGGGTAACATAAGAAGCTTTTGCGCATTTCCAAAGTCTTTCTTTTAAGGCCAGGCCTCTATGAATCTGTTTGAAATTGGTGTATAGATGTTGCACACAACACCTGTGCTCAGCTTGTGGCATTTTGTCTCTAACTGCCTGAACTAGTCCCTGTACACGTTTGAATACAACTTGGCTTAAATAAAAAGTTGTACCTGAGTTATTAAATAAAAAGTTGCTGTATAAATAAGTGCTAATACAATTTATCATACCTTTTGCTTGTCAGTCATGACACACCAATTACTGGAATCTGAATTTCCAAATCTTGTACAAGCAATCCCAAAAACCAGCTCCAATTGTCATAATTTTCCACTCTAACAACTGACAAAGCTAGTGGAAACATTTTATTATCCCCATCCATACCCACGGCTGTAAGTAGTTGTCCACCATATGTATCCTTTAAGAAGCACCCATCCAACCCAATCCAATGCCTACAGCCCTTTAGAAATCCTCTCTTCAATGGCTCTAAGCACATGTAAAGCCTTTTGAATCTGACAATCCCATCCTCATCCTCATCCGTCTCAACGAACACTGTCGATCCAGGATTTGCTCTCCTCAATTCACCACAGAAGTCCTCTAACAATGCATACTGTTTTTCATGACTGCCTTCAATTATGTCTCTTACTTTTTTCATTGTCCTATAGCCTTGTTTAAGACTGAAATCTACATTTAATTCTTCAGTCACCCTAGTCATGAGCTCCTGGACTGTCATGGATGGTGTTTTTCTCACCTCATCTACAAACAACCTGGTAGCTAGTTTTGATGTCATGTTTCTATTATGGAAGACACGTCCACAGGTGTGCTCCTTGCTAAGTGTCTTGATCTGGAAAGTGTTTTCACCTTGCATTTTTGAGCCAAAAATTTGCCATTCACAGCCTCTGCATTTCACCCGTACCCTATATGTGTCATTTTTTATGAATTGGACATCCCTTCCCTCCATAATAGCCTGGATTCTAACAGCCAACCTAAAAATAACAACTGATGAAAACCTCTGGCCTACCTTAAATCTTGGACTTCTCATTTCAGTTTTCTCATTAAAAACTGAAAATTTAGGCTTCTTATTTCTCTTACGACCATCTTCGTCTTCGGATTCACTCTCACTCTTCAACTCTCTAGAACAATCTGTTTCATATTCTGACTGCATATCCTCCACATTAACCATGTCAGGCTCATCACAAAATTTACTTCGTCAACAGCTTCTCCTTCCCTACTGCTCTCTTCTTTCTTCTGTCTTTGCTGGTAGAAGGTCCAACTTCAGGAGCTCCTTTATGCACACCAAATTGTTGTCCAATCTTTAAGGCTTCATCAAATAAAACATCCTCCTCAACTTGCCCCGTATAATCTGGATCATCGAACTTGTCATCAGCCTGCATATCATCATTAGCCTGCACATTATTATCAGCCTGCACATCAGTCTCATCAGCTTGGATATCATTATCAGTTGCCATTTGTGCTTCTTCCCCTGCATTATCTCTCTTGTTGTCCTCTTCTTGTTGCAAATTAGGACTTTTGGAATCAAAATTCTCATGACTGTTTGTAGCAACTTCATTACTGTTGTCATCAGCCACATTTTTCCTTCTGTTGTCCATATCATTGAAGTCAACTTCTTCCAGTATTGCTATGTCACTGTCCATTTCAGATGTTTCTTTATCTTTTGTATCCTGCTTAGCAGAAGTTTGTGGCCTTCAGGCATGTCTACATACTCTGTTTTTTGAGTTTGAAACCTCACTGGATTATCATCAGTGCCAACTTGTAGATAAACCTCTGCCACTCTATTCAGTGGCAATGTGTTTACTAGAAGATCACAATCCCAATCACACATGCAAAAATATAGTCCAGTCTCAAGCGGCATACCAGGAATCCTACCATACCACCCAAAACGAGCATCTTTCGGGTATCCTAGTCTTACTGCACATTCATCAAGCACTTGTAGTGACCATTTTTCAGCATTACAGTTGTCTATATAGTCTACCCTTCCTCCCACGTATTCTTTGCTGGGAGAGCTTCTGAACTCACCCTGATGGTGTATCGCCAAGGAAAATGAGTTGGGCAAAATGTCATTTGGACCACACTCTGGTTAAATAAAAAAATAAATCTTTAATAATTAACCCATTAATTATTAACAACATTTTTAGCATTTGGGACCACAATGTCTTCAACAGAAGGAACATTAGGGTTCCCACAACACTCACTTTTCAGTAAAATATGCAGACCCACTAACAGTACCATCAAAAATATATAATGCCTTGGACATGCATTCCACAACCATCCAAAACCCTAACTTTTCAACAATCCTTATGGCTTTAAAACGTTTTTCTACTGCTACCGTAAATTCTTACCCAAATTCCAATTATTAAATTCAATTAAAGTACACAAAAACTCTAAAATATTTTTCTCATACCAGTACTTGTCTTCTCTTTTGCTTTCCATTGTTTCGCTGCGGACGCGGACGCTTTTTCTCTCACATTGACTCGCTTTCTTCCCATTCTTGCAATCTTCAGTGTTTTTCAGCAACAATCATTCGGATTTTTACACACTTTGGTTTTACCCCTCCTCTCTATTTTTTCATCCAAGACAGAGGAAAGAAACGACCACTATCTGACTGTTTCGCACTTTCCCTTCTCTGGAATTTGTCTTTGTTTGTCCTTAATTTACGACCCAAATTTACGTTTATGTCCTTATCATTTTCAGTAACAATATTCCCCCATCTTCATTAACGGAGAGTGTTTGCCACGCTCTTCGACCACCAACGGCATTCAGGATTCTGTCAACAATTTTCCTTAACTGGGAGCAATTCATAAGTTTAGGGATTTAAGTGTCCCATTTTGAAGTTAAGGGACTGAAGTGGGTAATAGCCCAAAGTTTGAAGGGACAAAGTGGAATTAACCCACTAATTTATTCTACTTCTACTCTTAAGAGGAGGAGAAACCTACTCTATGGGATGGCTCAATTGAACCGGGGAACCTGATAGGGACCCACCATCAGAGCAGACGGGTGCACCACACACCCGTGTGAATTTAAAACAAATCTCATATTGAGACACATTGATGGAAAGTAAGGTTTTATTTCATAATTAATGTGGTGGTCAACTCCTCTAGAGAAAGTTGATTTGGTAAAATATATGTATGCTTTTATGTAAATTGTATACATAAAAATGGTTAAAGAAATGAAAGTTGCCACAAGTTAGAACTCCGTTTCCATCGTCTAATCTATCTGGACCAATCTGCCATAAGGATGTGGCTTCAAACCCCCTGTCCCCAAAGTAATTTCTGTTCCCTCTGTCCCTTATTTATATAGCTGCCACGTGTCTCTAATCTTTTATTAACCTAAACTCAAATAAACTATGGGTTTGTTTGCATGAAAAGCAAGCTTTTAATTAGATATTATGCTGATATAATTTTTTTTTGAGTTTTGATGATATAATTATTCATTTATATTTTTTATTTTTAAGCATGTGCATGAAAGTCCTACTGGTAGTAGAGATGGTTTAAACATATGGGAACCAAATAACCAACGTATGTTGTGCTCAACGCAATTGTCACAGGTAATATTTTCTTGTTTATAATTAAATTTTAGTTATTCCAAAATTCACTTGTTTGCAAGAAATAGTTATTTAATCTAAAATTTATTTGAGTTTGGATTAACAAAAGATTAGAGACACGTGGCAGCTGTATAAATAAGGGACAGAGGGACAGAGACTACTTTGGGAACAGAGGATTTGAAGCCGAAGGATGTGACGTACACGCGATTGATTGGCAGAAATTCAGCTTCTTCGGATAACATGGCAGGCTGATCAAGCTGACAAGTCAGAAGGCCTTCTAACATGTCAGCCAATCACGTCGCCACCCACACGTGGAACCACATTGGATTAATGAGTTTAGCTGGCAGAAATGTCATATTTGAATGCTTCCGCTGCAGTACTGTAGCGTTGGAAGTAAAATGACGTGGACTACGTGCTGACACGTCCAGTGACATGTTGTACATGTCATCAAAATAGGTGATGTGGATGATGATATAAGATATGATGACTGAGGTGGCTGCCATAGAGAACTACCACGTAGATGACACTTCTGACATGGTTAATATGTTGCTACGATGAGTTGAGAGTGCTAAAACGTGGTCGCCATATCAATAATATATGATGATTAGACTGCTACATCTTTTATGAATGATGTTTGCATGAAATCACCATTGACGTGTTCAACACATAAGATGCCCCCTAGCTTGTTTGTCATCCATGTGATCATCTCCGATGCGGTGTTGTACAGGTAATCTCACATTTCCCACTTGGCCAAACGTACGAAAGCCACTTCGATAGAACTATGGTAGCATCCACATCATCTCAATCGGCTGATATGGATTGTATACGTCATCCTTCTCAGCAAATGGTGATGACTTGGCATTACATGTTAGAGCATCCACAATGTTTTACACCCTTCCCTTCAGGGTGTAATTCACATGCCACATCAATATTTCACTATCCCACGTCAGCCTTCCACTATCTCCTCTTCTTATTATACTCTCATCCACAATGGATTACACTCACAGAGTATAATAGCAGGGTCCACATGCCACAACTGCATTCAACTATCTCCTCTTTTATTATATTTTCTCCCATCTTTTATTTTAATAATGCACAACTCATAACCCATAAATAAATAATTTTATTATTTTTAAAAATAAATTATTGACGTGACACCTCAAACGTGAAAATATCATAATAATCCATTATTAATTAATAATACCCTATCTACTTAATTTAACTCCACGACATAATATTAAAATTAAATAAAATACAAATAATAATATAACGAATACTAATTTTCATTATTATTGCCTCCGAATCATTCCCAAATACGCTCTACCAAATCCGACCGAAGTTGATGATTTGGGTAATTTGGAATTGGAAATGGATAATTTGGCAAATTTGGATAATTTTGGAAATTTTGGTGGTTTTGATTTTGTGAAGCGGATGAATTTTCTATATTTGGACTATTTAACATATTTCTAAAACTACTAGATTCTCATCCATAATGATAAAATATTGAAATTTATAAAATTATGTAAAGAGATTGAAAATAATGAATAAGGGAGTAGGAGAGATAATGGAGTAGAAGATTGTGAGGTGAAATAAAAAAAAAATTACTTTGTGTATTTATAGGAAGTAAAATAAATTATCCGTTGCTAAAATATAGTGGTTGTAAAAAAAGGCCGTTGTAAAATGGCTGGCTTCAAAAATGACCGTTGTAAAATGTTTCAAAAAATGACCAAGTAAAATGCTGTCTCATTTTGGCTATTTGGACGTTTGCTAGTGTTGTCATGCCATTTGGGTCCCATAGCATCTTCCATGATGCGCATCATCAGTATTGTGCGTGTAATCTCCATGACACGATTCTAACGGGAGACCGTGTCATGAAGCGGTGTAATGGGGACATTATACCCCCCATTATATATTGCTGTGGATGCATGCCCCATTGTATATTGCTGTGGATGCTCTTAGAAAATAATATGACGTTTGCATTACGTCGTCTGATGACATGGCGAAAAATTCATCAAATGTTACCTATCATGAAGGTAAATTATTCAGATAGCTTTTGCATTTCGCAGCTTACGTCTAAATGAATTGATTGAGTGGATTAAAACTCCTTCAAAACTTTAACCAAACTCAGTTAAGGTCCATTAACATGAGACTTCTGAAATCATGTTTCCAACCAGAGTTGCTACACAAAGCAAATGGCAATAGTTTAAATCTTCCACCACCTTTAGATTTGGAAGTGTCAGGTAATGCATATACTAAACGAGTGAGTGAGTGATTCTGCTTGAAGTTTATTGTGAATTAAGATATCAAGGAGACAAAAGGCCCCATCGAGTGCTGATTTTTTTTCAGCCAAAGCTTCATGAAAAGTATAGTGCAACAACTCAAATTGAGAAGGGAAATTGGCCAAAACAAATGCCTAGAACCAACATTATTAGTGCGGTTCAAGACAACACGTTTACATCAGAAAAGCAGACAATAAACACTAGCAAGTGGGCTTGGTTCGTGGTTGAGGATCTTGTGGGGAAAGGTGGCCTCCTGTGCAAACTGTTTTGTGGGCAGCAATAACTCTTGGGGGTCATTGTAAATCGGCATATCTTCATCATTGGATTTTTTCTTTCTTTCTTTCTTTCTTTTTTTCCCATTTTCTGTTCTTGGCTAGGAAAAAAGGCAAAAAATATTATAACCTTGGCACTGGAGTTTTTCTATTGACTCTTAAATACTTCTTTTGAAAAATTGTTACTGCTTGAGGAATAGAGCACTCGTTGAATTTCTTCTGTTTTGGCACATACATATATTACCTTATTTTATACCGGAAAAATAGTTCATAACGTCCCTTACATTTCATCAAATGAATTTTTTGTCCTTAACTTTTAAAATGATAACTTTATGTTTTTTATCAAATATAATCGGCAAAATTTGATTCCGACCTAAATTTTCGACCAATTTTATGCCATGAATCCATCAGGTGACCGATACATGGTCATTTTTTTAGGATAAAAAATATTAGATACTAGTTGTAGTTAAATAAATAACCCAATCTATATTCATTTTTATCTCAAAAAAAGTAAAATTTGACCTAAGTTATAATCATTTTTTCTCATAAAAAATGAAATCTAACTCAATCTATATCTATTTTGCCAACTAAAAAGGTGAAATCTAAAGTAATTGTTAATGTGTATATATAATAAATTAGATGAAATTTAGACGTATTAGAATGGGTACTCAATTAGAAAACTCCCAAGTTTAAAACCTCTTTTCTAAAATGGAAATCTATACAACCAAACTCAGAACAAGCACATCAACTTCGACCAAAGTGGAAGCACTTCCCCATATTGGGCTCTACAGTTTGCCAAAGGCTCCCTGTCTTTACAGACAATTTTAACCTAACCAACAACCAAACAGACGAACCTATCACATGGTATCGTTTGCAGTTGCTACCTTAGCCAATTGACTCCATTTTCATTGCATCTATTCTTTAATGATATCTCTCAACCGCCCTTTTCTTATTATAATCGCAGCTTTTTCTTCAGCTGTTTGACTTCTGAATAATGTATCTCAAGAACTCCAAACACATTTGCCTAATTTACCTCTTTTTCACACTACTGTTATTATTATATGGGGACAACCAGAATCCAACCAAAACCCACCAATCAAGTTACCTCAGCTCATCATTTCACATCATATCCACTCTTTTTCTATCTCTCTAGGTGTATATTTTAGAGAGAGGTAGATTGGAGTAGCATCAGATTCTTAATTGGGACAAGACACAACCAACATCAAAGAATATAACTTTCTCTAGGCTTCAGTTGAGCTGCAGTTCAGGAAGCAAAGTCAAAAAGGCCGAGCAAAATGGTGGGAATTTTCTCAAGATTTTCTGTCAGTAAAGTTGGCCATCGTCGGTCTCAAAGTGCCCTTGTAAGCATTTTCTTTCTTTATTTCTTTTTTCCTAATTTCAGTTACTCATTTTGTCTAGGCATGTATATAATCAACCTTCTGTAGGAGTTCAATTATTTGATGATTTCTTTCTTCTGTGTTTTGTTCTTTTTCCAGTGATCTAGGCTTAAAAGAGTTGTTTCTGTATCTCCTGTGGTTAAGTGGATGTGAAATGAAAAAACTCGATTGTGTCTGTTTTATTTTATTTTTATTTGTTGAATTTTGATTCTTGGGTACTACTCTCTTTTTTGTGTTTTTTTTGGGGGGGGGGGGGGGTGCTTTCTAGGACTAGTTTGACTTAAATTTGGGCTACACAGTTTTTTACCCTTCTCTTTGTGCAATTAGAATTTGATAGCTTTTTGTGGAGAAATTGATCAATTAATTGCATATGTTGTCGCACATCTTACACTTGAGAGAAATTTGCTGGTCTAGTTGTAGAGTCATGGCTGAGCTGAATGGTTTTATAACTGAAAAGGATGAGCATTTATTTTGATTTTGCATGATGCAAAAAGGGGAATAATCAATCTGAGGCTTAGATGCCCTGTTAAGTAACTTGTAAGCTAACTTTTCCTATAGTAGTCGACATTGTTGGTAAATTGTAATGTTTTGGTCCAGCCAGAGTGGGGAAAGGAATGCTTGGAGTTTTGTTACCATGTGATGCATGCATTTAGCTTAGTTTGAAGATCATTTAGCTTAGTTTGAAGAATTTGTTGCGCAATTTGAAGTTGATCATCTGAAATTGCTCCGATAGTGGAGTATCCATCCACCATGAAGTCTATGCTACAGCTGCACGTTTCATGTCTCCCTTTCGGTTTACTGTTTATCGTATAATTAATAGATGATATACATTAAATAAGAGATTTGGAAAACCTGCCTCTAGCATTTCGATTTATTTATGTCTTTGTTTTGACTAGCGTTTTGTTGTCTAGCATGTGCTAAGATCTCTTGGTTTCTGCAGGACGAGAGGGAAGTATTGCCCCCTAACTTAGAGGCAACAGGGGCAGTTACCCTTGCAGGGGCAACCTCTGCTACCACCCATGGGATTGAAATTGCCGTTGAATTTAAGCCGGTAGAACATCCAATTGAACCTCATGACAATGATCGACCAATTCAATGTCCATTGCCAGAGCCTTCAATTCTTAATGTAAGTATGATAGTTTTATGTTTCTTGCGCTTGTGCTTAAGATTTTTTATTCCTAGGAGGAGTTAGTTGCATACCTACCGAGCATAATCACTTTTGACTCCTGGTCGAATAAAAGAGGCCTGCCCTTCAGTGCAGATGAACCACAGTCAAATACACTTTTTAGCAGTCTGTTTCATCACTATACGTGTCATGGATCCTCTTTTTGGTATGTACAGATTAGGTATGGTGCCAACTTGGATCACTACCTCTGTGGTTGTAAGTAAACTCTGTGTGAATTGACTTTTTCATATCTTGTGGAGCTTATGGTATTCAGATTGTGACTGGCAAGTGATATTTCCAGCTTCACCTCTTATGGTTTGCCAGCTTGATGACATGTTATGTTTAATTTCTTCAAAGTTACATCTTGGTTGTACCCTAAGAGTCGATCTTCACCATTCATACCTTGAAAACTAAAATTGGGCCATACTGATCTCATGTTCATTTTACAATGGAACATCTAGCATGTTAGTTTCTTGAGGTTTTGTAGTATCTGTCACGGTGTCAGGTTTGTTTCTTAACACAAATTAATTCTTCTCTAACTGTCTTTGCACCATTTAATCACTACCACCTTTGAATCTCTATATTGTTTGAGGGTGATTATCAGAAACCAATTAATTCATGATGACAAACAAAAGTTTCACTGTGACAGATATGAAAACCTCAAGAAAGGCCAACTTTTACCCTTTGTAATTTAATCTCCTGGAGATCTGTAAGTTTAAATCAGTAAGGATAAAAGTTTCTTGCTTGAGGTTTTTCATTCTCTGTCACAGTTTCACTTTTGTAAATAAACTAATTGTTTTCCAACTGTCTTCATACCATGTAATGACAATGACCTTCACATCTGTATGTTGTTAAATGGTGATTACAAGAAAAGGAAAAGCTTTTTATGGTGTTAGGAGCCTTTAACAGTGTTCATAGACTAACAGCAAAGATTTTGCGAGTGTTGTCAAAGGTTTATGATTAGGCATTATGGAAAAGCTTTTGAATTGTTTGGCAGTTTCAGTGCTAAAAGAATACAAGATTTCTGTTTTATTGATTGCCTGATCTTGGTGGTCTTGGATAAATTTTTAAATGCTTTTGTTTGCTTGCCTTAAATCACCGCATTTGATAGGTAAAATTTTTCTCCTACTGGAGAAGCAGAAAATGAAAAGGTCTAATCTTGTCAGCTGGCAATCAATTTGGCAGCAGTGGTCTTCCATTAGAAGGTAGGCAATAATAGCTTGAGTACCATATGACGACATGAACTTCATGGTGGCTCTTCGAGCTTTTAAGTCCTGTGACTTACAGAGCATAAAACTAGGGATTTTGACATTTTTTAAGCTTTTAAAGGATTTAAATACTGTATATCAGTTTGGGGAATTTTGCTTAGGCTCACTTCATTGTTTTGTTAAGACTTTGTTCATGAAGTCAAACATTGATATTCCATCAGTGTTAAATATGTGATTGGCTTTTAAACCTGGTGTAGTATTAGATATTTGATGTAGGATCTTATAAGGTGGTCGGATATCAGAGTATTAGATCTTATGAAGTCAAATCTGATGTAGGATCTTATAAGGTGGTCGGATATCAGAGTATTAGATATTTGATTCCTCTTGCAGTCAGGAGCTATGAAGTGGTGTACATGGTAATGCCAGAATGTCAAGCGTGATCTACAACCAATTATATTTCCATGTGGAGTCAAAATAAGTATCCAAAGAAATTTAATTATGATAAGAAGATAGGCACCACAATGAACATATTCGTGTTTTTATATAGTTGATTTCCTCATATTTTAGACATGTTAGAAAATGTGGTGCACCTTTGCATGAATCACAGCATGTTACTTTGAGTTTCTGTGTTACTTTCCAAATAACTTCCTATAATCTTGGACTTTGTTCTTTCTCTTGTTTAAAATACTTAATCTTTTATCTGTCCATATGCATTAGATGGAAAGTTCCAATCATGCTAAGGAACTTGTAATGCTTCTAGGCATTAAATAAACTGTCGAGGCATTTTCCTTCACTAGATTGAACTTGACAATTATTTGGATGAAGCAAGACAAAAAGAGATTCATATGAATATTTCTTCACCTGTTTGTTACAAACAGCCATGTAGCAGGCTATCTTGCCACCTTCCTTTTTCCTTTACTTTTATTCTTGGATCTTTTTCTTGAAGGGGGTGCGCCAGTGCGGAGGGTGAGAGGGTGACTGGGAGGGGTTATGCTTAAGGAATTTTTGCTAAGGAAACCCATAACTAGTTAAAGCAAGTGAATGAAATGCAAAAGGCATTACAGAATCGCATACCTTGATTTTGGACACCGTAGAAGAAAGATTACCTGAACAGTAACATACTGCCAGCATCAAGTTCATTTTGAAGCTGGCATGAGGTCGAATATGATCACAAGAAACTGATGATCTAGTGAAGTGTTATGCTCTCAAACACAGGATCAACTGGCACAGTTTAGTGGAATGTGTTCTCAGCTTCCGATTTGGTTCTGATCTCTAGAAAGAAGAATGATCTATATTTACCCAATAATTCAGTTTGAATTTTTAGTACAGCATTAGTTGTTCTGTGTTGTCCCTAGTGCCAACCGGACTAGGAGAGTATGTTTTTAGAACCATAAGAAGGAAACAAGGCGAGGGACTGAGGATTGCATTTAATCATTTTGCCGGATATGGTATGACTTCTGTTTTGTCTTGTATTGTATGTTTATCTTCTGACCGTATATCTCTTTGGTCATTAGGATGGAGAATATGGAAGGAGCGAGTGTCTGCTGGAGCACGGAGGTCTGACCTGCCAGTTATGCAAGAAGGGACTGCCATAGAACCAGAGACCACTGGACCTAAGCCTCGGCCCCCTCCCCACCGTGTGATTTTGCCATCTATCAGTGCCCCTGAGCATAACATCCTTAAGTTGCTTGAAGAATCTGGAATATAGAATTACATGGTCAATATCTGAGCATAACATCCAGCAGTGCCCCGAGCAGAACATCCTTAAGTTGCTTGAAGAATCTGTAATATAGAATTACATGGTCAATATCTGTTGTTGCAATCTGCACAGAACCTCACTCTTTTCTGTTTTATTTATTTGTCTTCTATAAAATTTTCCTTTCTCCTCCTCCAGTTCCAGCTTTGTCTGAAATGATGTACAAGGAAACAAAATTTTCACCATATGCATGTACATACACCGATTTCAAATTATTCATGTTTATCATTCAGAAAATACAGTTATTCCCATTTACCTGTAATATTTTGCTTGTAACTGCTGTTACTCTGATAGTTGGGCCAATTGTTTCTTTCATCCATTTGAATTGAGGTTCCTACCATTCTCTTTGCTTTTGTGCTGATTGTCCAAAGTGTAAGTATAATGACTGCTTATAACTGCATCAGACGGTCAATGTTATTTCAATATCTACTCCGGAATTGCAAGATATGCGTACAGATTATTCCAGATGAGGGATTGCAGCATGTTATATTTCTGCTGCAAAGCAACTAGACTATATATTATACTTGATTCAACATGGATACAAGTTAATGGACTTTGCAGAAAATGAAGTGACGACTTAGGGTGATGGCGCACGGAGGAGTTGCCTGTATACCTTGCGATGCTTTTATCATCTATCAGGTGTCCAAACTACTTTGATGGCATAACTGAATATGTCTGGATGCCAAACAAAGTTTCCTGAGTTTGTATTAATAGCGTTGTTCAGAATAACCTATTGAAAAGAATGACCAAGAATATTTGTGGCTAACTTGCTTTACTATCTTAAGATACGAGGTGCATCTTTCCTTTCAAGGAAAATCGAAATGCTATATCGAATTCGAATGGATTTGAAGTTGAAGATTCCAGCTGTGGCACAGGTTGGTACCGTATAACAAGAATGATACGGCTTGAGATTTGAGAGAATAGAAAATTTTAGATTTTGAACACAGGTGCATATACAAGAGATTGCGAGACCATGCATAGGAATAGATACACGAAGTTGACAGACACTGGACTAATTATAACACATCCAGGTGATAGCATCAAATATGATAGAACACAGAACAACTTCCGTCTTCTCTCCTCCAAGGAGCTAAACAGCTAATTTGCTGAACACAAATGGGTTCTCAGCTGTGGGATCAAGAAGGTGTTTCTGAGGCCCCCGAAAGCTTCCATGATTAAACCGTGGCCTCTTCTGCTGCCTTCCATGCTTCCCTTGTGCTCTCCTATGGACTCCTGCTGCAGCAGAATGGGCAGAGGAGGAGCAGAAAAGGAGAAAAAGGGCTAGTAGAGTCAGTAAGGCTCTCAGTTGCACCATTCTGCTAGAGTGCTTGTGTTTCTGTGCGGCCTTTTTTGGGAAGTCAGGATAAATAGAGAGTAGCCTTTACCTTTGCTTTGCTTTGAAGTCAGCTGGAAATGATTCCAGCTCCTAGGCAGTCATTTGGTATATTGATTGCTAGCTGCCTAGCTCTATTAGTATGATTGCTTGGTTTGGTTTCATTGGTGGGGTAAGTCTAGTGATGTTGCTGTCATTATTCTGTCCGGTCTGTAAACTAATTCAGGAAAATCAACAATCAATACACTGAATTAAGATGGCTAGATACTGAATGATTAATCTCGATGACTGGGAGGGATTTCACCGACTCCAGTTTTTCTTTTTTGTTCTTTCCTTGAAAACTTAATTATATCCTCATTATAAATAAGATAATGCTTTTGTAGCGTGTAAACACTAAACACTAATAATCATTAGTATAATAACGGTTGAGGACAAACGGACTTCACAATCCTCATAGTCCTCCAACCAAACAAAAACTGCTGCTGGCTGGCTATGTTTTAGTATCTTGATTTAGATCTTTTTCTTTCATTTTTTTTTTCCTTTTCATGTGTTCTGTGGTAACTCTTATGTCACATTATATTGATGATCCGGAAGTTTCACCCAATTGAAGTTCCTGTATTCATATTTTAGTGTGGTTTAGCTAATTAAAATTACATGATCTGGTACAAAAACAATGTTTTAAAACTCAGTTTGGACTAACTAATCGAACCGATTGAACCGTCGACCAACCTGCTTTCCAATCTAGGTTAGTTTTAAAAACTAGTTAGTATCAATTTTACTAGGAGGGACAGCCCGCGCGGCGCGCGGGAATTTGGTGCTTGTGATTCAAGATAATTAATAATTATTGTTTAATATTTTGTAGTATAGGAACTGAAGTATGATGATTTTATCATGTGATTTTAATAGAAAAATCATAAGTTATATAGTGAGTCAATAAAAATAATGTGCAATAAGACATCTTATCGTTATACTATATAAGAATCTGTTGTGATCAAAAGTTATGTTTGAATTTCAACTGCAAAGATAAAGGTAGTTTGAAAATATATGAATGTTTGAAGTGCAATTGAAAAGTATTCAAAGGTCTCTTCTAAAACTTATCCAAAATGATAAAACATTTTAAAGTATCAATTGGACCCTTCATCTCTCGAATCTATATATGTTCGTGAAAGATCCCTCAAGCAATGCTTCTGATTTTTCCCTCGACTTAACCTCAACCTGAATTATCAAGTCAAGTTTATCCATCAACACTTTGCATCCAATCTAATCTAAAATAATTTATTTTTTACTAACTATTTATATAATTTGATGGGTATAATACGACTTAATCACATGTTTCTTACAGAGATAATAATGCCCAAAAATGATAGATAGATAAGAAACTTAAAATGGTCTTTTCAAAGTTTGTAGAAATTATTCAGATTTGGTGTTTTTTGCTAGGGGCATTTCTTTATAATCTCATAAATAAGTTCAAATCTGCATAATTGTTAAAGATCTAAATTGAAACTATCTTGATTATAAAAAATTGGCGGCAAATAACATTTTCTAAATTTGAAATTGTAGAAAATGGTAAGTAAAATCAGAAGAAATTTCTCATATGAATTCGAATTGCAAACTATAGGTAGAAACTGCTTAATGATATTTTCCAATATTTACTTGCATAAGTATCTAATATAACATCTCTACTAAATTGACTCGTTTGAACTATGGATAATAGTTGCTTCAATCAAATCAAGAAACATTATTTATCATTGTACAACATACAATTATGAGTAAATGAATTATACAATGCAATCAAAATGGTGTTGTAGCTAAAGCATTTAAACTCAGTTCACTACAAATTCTTTTACATAGCATAAAAAACAAATTTTTGTATTTGAAACTATATAAACAGTATAATACAAGAACGAGATCATAACATGGAAAGCAAATAGAGTGCAAATGACATCTTAGTACTATGTAGCTTGATTAATTTTCTTTTTAGTTTCAATGAAGTACAAAATTCTAAGTTAATAAATTTTACAATGATAAAATTCCCAATTAAAATAAACACAAGTTGAATTCCAAATCATATTACATGAAAAAATAACTACTTGAACCATAACTGTTGGAATGTAGTCAACAAATCCCTGGAGTCAAGAATAATAGGAGAAAGTTCATGAGAAATAAGGTTATTTGACTTAAATAAAGAGATAATATCTTGGCTGAGGAGGAGAAGATGATAAAATTGCTTTTCTGATTATTTAGAAAGTGACAACATTATCTCAAATTGTACTTTGACCAGAGACAGAATCTCTAAAATTTACTAAGAAAACAAATACAATTAGTAAGTTTTTGGAATTAGAAGTATCAAAAGGCAAACTATATGGAGTTCTTGAATAAACAATCATCAGAAAAAAAAAAAACTACAATCGAAGAAACAAACCCAAAGAACTCACCTCAATTTAAAGGAAAAGCTATGTATTCCACCAAATATTTAATAGCCATAATAAAATTAAAGAGGTGAAACTGAAAGAAGAAAGGGTATCGGCTCTAAACATGGGACATAAATATGATAATGATTGTTCAGATAATAATTAAGTTAATTAATTGTAATTAAAATCCAATTATGTAAACATCCAATTAATTCTTAACGGATGAGAAAGGTTTCAAGAAATTGGAAGGCTTGGATGTTAGTATAATAAATGATTAAAAGAACTTTATAAATTCTATCAAAATACAATACAAGCTTTATTCAGTTGTACTTGATACTCAACTTGGCACTAAAACATTGTAATATACAAATCTGCCCCTAACCTTAAATGTCTGAAAGATTATATAAGTAATTAAGTGAAATTAAAGTTATAATGACGTGTACTCAATGTTCCAATTACTCTTCAAACACTCTCACATTTCCAAAATAGCCTCACCCCTGCGGTTGAAATCTAGTTCTAAACTCGTTTTATGTAGTATAAGGATAAGGATATTGAACCAATTGAATCATCCGATTCAACACATAAACCGTTGAACTGGGAACGGTTTTGTGAGCATCGGTCCAACCTTAATTAAGCAAACAATTTTGATTGTCAACAAATCCCATTAATGACATTCTAAATTTAATATCTTACCAATTACCCATGCATTATTATCCAATTAATTAGACAATAACAATTATTGACGTATTTTACACGTTTCTCTCTCTCTCTCTCTACTCTATAATTATATACTAACTCTTTCTAACGTTATAACATATACAACTATATTATTTGTTTCAAATCTTGAATGCATTTAATTTATTTGTTAATGTCTTTTAAGCTTTTATTTTTATCACATCAACTAGCACTCATATAATTTAAGAAATCAAAAATATATTAAATAATACTATTTAAACCTTTAACGTATAAAGACTATTTTGAGTCTCAGACAAATAATACTACTTAGAAGAATATAAATGAGAATTGAAGTGATTATCTTTAACAATATGGCTTAAGTTCTTACAAATATTTGTTTTTTAGATGTTTAATATTTATTAATAAATATTTATGATGTCACGATTTAATAATGGTTAGTCAACGGTTGAACCAGTGACTCTTGACCCATTTATTTTTCTAGGTTAATGAATGGTTTGGTTTTTAGAACCTTTTATAAAAATATATCTTAATATTCATCTCATCAGGGATATTTATCTAAACTTATGATATCTATATAAAAAAAAAAAAGGATACAAGTTACTAATTCATCCTTGATAGACAATACAATGTGCAATTTTATCCTGCACAATTTTGTTTCTAGCAACAAAGTAGTTAAGGTTGAGACCCCAAAAATTAAAAATCATGGATTCAAATCCCCTACTTCTTACTTGCTTCTTAAATCTCCTTTTCCCTATTGAAAAAAAAAGGATATTTTTATATACAAAATCACTAATTTTTAAGGAATGGGAAAAATGAAAGAGAAGGAAGTGGAGGAATAAGGTTTTTGATGTTTGGATTGGTTTTTGAGGTGGGAAAAGG